AACACATTTTCTCATTGGTTTTTTTTTTTTTTTTTTTTTTTGTGATTATGTGCATAAAGTAACGAAACCTTGAAAGCTTCTCACGCCCACAACGAGTATTAAATAATTTGATAGCATTTAAACCAAATTCAAAGGGGAGACAAGAAAAAGGAAACATTAAACTGAAAATTCGTTGTAGTTGGTTCGTATGCGAAATTTTATGAAGAGAGAAAAGAAGCAAGAGAGAGAGAGAGAGAGAGAGAGAGAGAAAGAAAGAAGTGAAGTAAGAAAGCAAAAGCTTTTAGCAATGATCTCGTGAAAATTTCTTTCTTTATTATCATTATTCATATATAAAGAAAATTTTTGCGAAAAGAATTTTTTCAAACTAAACAAATGATTGACGTCACCTCTGAGATTGTTTGCGTAATTTAAAGCAAATAAAAAAAAACGCGTTAAAAAAAACACAAAAGAAAAAAAAAAAAACACTTAATAAATATTTTTAAAATAAACTGAGTTATACATATAAGATCGTTTCCATATATCCAAATTATATATATGCTGTAAAAATGTAAACATTTACGTATTGATTATGTTTGAAAGAAATTAAAAGACATAAAAGAAACTTTTGAAAAAGCTGCAAAAGCTTAAAAGCATTATGTATTTTTAAATAGGATATTAAGGATTTATTATTAAGTATGCATGCAATAGATAATCGCTTACTTGTTCTGCTATAGTGATGATCGTAGATGGCACGTGGTGAATAGCCATAAGTATCTCTGCTGACTGGTAAATATCTGTAACCATGAGAGAGGACGCGATCTTGAGCAGTGACAGGCTCATCAAAGATGCTCCTGTATGTGGCAGGGGCATCTAAGTATGAGCTATAGGGGCGTCCAAGTCTTGGAGTCTCATGGGCACGGATATCCTCAGATCCTTGAAGAAAAGAAGAAAAGTGATAAACGATACATTAAATAATTTTGCTTAAAATGTACATCCTATTAATGGTTTTTTCGTTTTTGGTATCCTACAGCGCTAATGGTGCTAGAGGATATTCGAAGGACTTCAGATAGACCCATTTTTTATTACACCGATCGATTCCAAATCGCTTTCAGAATTATTTTCTCTTCTTTTAGGAGCTTGTTGTACGTGTGTCCGTCCGTTCGTCATTTCGTCTGTCTTTTCGTCTTGGTTTCGTATGAGATATTTTGATGAAATTTGCTACATCGACCTGCTTTGATCTAAGAAAGTATGCTATTGAAAATCGTTCGGATTGAACCATCGGCTTTAAAAAGCCTTATATATTGAATAGTTGTTATATGAACTGTAGCGTGGCTATGGCTCATTATAGTGTTTTCTCTTGTTTTATTTATCATTAAATTATTTAGCAAAAGTTTACATATTTTGTAAAAAGCCAATGCGCCATTTTCCGCTTTCTTTTTCTAAACCAAGCAAAATAAAAAAAACAAAAAAAACAGGGCAAGAGCGAAAAAAGACAAACTGATCGGGCTAACCAAAGCTAAAAACAGATAACAAAAAATGAGACTTAATTATGCTAACGGTTGAGCATCAGTGAAATTTTGGAATTTAAGTAGACATGCGTTTCTGTGTTTTTTCTTTGGCCGATTGCCAACCAGACACTAGATTCATTATGTTTGGCAATAGAGATCAAATAGCGAAAAAGAAATATAAATAAATAAATAAATAAATAAAAAAAAAAAAATTGTTTTCGTTGAAATATCTAACTAATGTATCAAGCAAAGATTTTATCTGTAAATTTCAATAAAAATTATTTCAATTATCAAGAAATTTAAAATGATTTCAGAGTTAATTATATATAATAACGCCGTTGGCTTGTCAAAAGCGCCTTAAACCTCTGAAATGGGTAAATATATGTAAAAGAAAAGGCTCTTATGCATAGAAGCCTTGAAGTAAGTCTTCCATATCCACCATTTGTGGCAAATATGATTTGACCATTTTTGCTAGAACGATGCCAGTGAGCAGCACGAGTAGCCGAGGAGATAAGAATGGCGACTATCCGGTCGGTGTTCGAGGGTTCAAATCTCGGTGCGGTAGAGTCCATTTAGGTCGTAGCTATAGTGAGCGCTTAGTAATCCATTGAGGTGTGGGCACTATCTCCTTATTTTTCGACTTCTTACTAACTGGCCTCTGACTTACTTTTGACCGTTACCGCGTTACGCGATTAGTCATTGGTCATAACAAAATACAAAAAAAAAATTGACCGCTTTTAGTCCTTTTCTATGAAATACTTTAAAAGCTGCTTGCCTTACGAAATTTTTAAAGTTTTTCCTTTTGTTTAACGTTGAAAATGCTTCGGTATTTTAAATATTGAAGGACTGTTTGCTGGCGGATCAAGAATATTGTCAAAATTAATTTTCGAGAATCAAATTAAAATTCATCAAATGAAATGAAACATGTTTCGTTTTTCTAATTCAATAAGTGGGACAGTAACCATTGCAGTAATACACGGACCGATGGATATTTGTATTAACCGTTATAAAACCACATGATAATGCCAAATATTTTTGGTGCATAGTCGCACTAGATAGCGAGTTGGATGGATGGCTATGTCCATTCAGGGTTTCATGCTGACCTAATGTATGAAAACTTTGTTCTTTACCCCAAATCGATTAATTTTTCTACGAAAACACGCCTTGAAAACAATGCAGAGTTAGTTAAACGGCAGTTTAAATGGATACGTTAATGTCAATCTCAGGCTGTGTTGCCTTAAGGACACATGCTGATCGAAAATATTTCGCTACTTTATAAAAATGTTATTCAATAGCGTTTCAAACGGATCGATATAAAAATTATTCGCGTTACCCTGAGGCCGATACCAATTTCTATTTAAAAACCAATGGAAACCAATGTTATGGAAAGATTTCAAAGACCCGAATCTATACTAATTTCATTTTCTTTGGAACATACAAACTTTTCAAATTTCTTATTTAAAACTTCTTAGCCATTTATGGCCTGTAAGAAAAGTCAAGCTATAATAGGACAGTTAGATAATGAGCTTACCTTTTAAAGATCTGATGTAAGAGGTCCAAAATTTGGCTTTCTTGCTGGGCGTCTCATTACGACCAATCATTTCCAAATGGCTTTTGAACATTTTGATCGATTTGTTTTTGGTTCGTTTCAAAGGACTCGTTCGCTAAAAAGATATAAAAACAAATCAATAAAATATAAACTTGAAATGATCAGGAACTAATAATAGACAAAATGGCGCCAAGCGCCCCGCGTTGTTCTGCGTTCGACTTATAATTCTAAGCTATTGATAATTACAATTATAAAGTATGAAGAGACTTGCAGTGAATAGGTTCACTTCAAGAATCAAAGAACTTTTTCATATTTTAATAAGTTTTACAGTCTTGGTATTGGTTTATTGGTTGGAAATGTAATATGCTTATCTATATGTTGTTTGAAATATTCATAGACTCGTTCGATGTGTCTGTCCCAACTATCTTTGAACTGACTGCGCACGCTGTTGTTCTTTTGTTTAATTGCTAATCCGATCCGCCTGTCCTACCTTTGTTTCATCTACCCGAGCTCTCCATCGTCCTTTCGCTGATGTCCGACCCGCCTGTCCCGCTTTTCATTTAAATCAACGTTCGTCCTACTGGTCTTTTCGATTAGCTCTGTGGCTGACCCTCTTGTCCTATCTCTTTTTTTTTATTCAATCGTATCATTAATCTCTGTTCCATCTACAAGTCCATCTTGTTAGTGATGCAGCTGACCATTCATTTTTGTTCCTAACTTACAATATTTCTAATCCATTGTTTAACTTCAACGGTGCATTGTTTACCCGCCGCTCGTCCTTGACTTCACCGTTAATATCCTCACTACCATTTATCCATTTCTCCTGGCAACTGTTTCGTTTGCGAACCTATCCTGCCGTTTGATATACGCGTCCACTCATTTCGAAGTCCACCCCGTCGATTCATTCAATCATGTATTCCTCCGCCCTCCTTGGCTGATCCTATGTACCACGTTGCATCGATCTGTTCATCTTTCATACATCCTCCGTCCGTCCGTCCGTCACTTGTAATAACATAAATTTCGTTTCCGTTTCTATGCTAGTCAATCACCCAACCGTTCATCCACTCATCTAATCTGCGCTTGCAAATATCTTGGTCGACTTAAGTGCTCCGTCCCTCCATACGTCTATCCATTTTGTCTGCTGTTGACCTCAAAACGAAATATTTTCTTTACTAAGTTGTTTTATTTCAAATCATTTATAATTGATTAGATTTCCGATTTTCTGTTTTCCTTTTATAATCTCTTTAAAAACAAAAAATTTTTATCAAAATAAAATTTCTTAAATAATTTTTGTTTTTTACACAAATTCCATACGTGCGTTACAAAGATCACTTGCCGTGTTCCAATTTTCAAAAGTGTCTTTTTTTTTTATTATATTTTGAAATAGAATTTTCAATTTCGCTTTATTTTTTTTGAATTTCTTCTAAAAAATAACTAAAGGAAAGAAAAAAATAAAAAATCAACAGTCAACGCAAGACGCCACAAGATCATCGAATAGATTAAAAATAGAAAATAAGTTTATACATTGTTGTTGTATGACAGCGACAGCGAGAACGACAACGATCACAATGACAGCAGTGCGTTGTCTTCTCAGTCGGACGGTATTGTTTGTGAACGGAGTGCGTACTCGACCAAAATGAAATAATAAAGGAATTAATGCGATCACCGAGCAACTAAATAACTAACTGACGCAATATATCTGTGACTATATAACACACATATATACCCATGCGTGTGTGTGTGTGTGTATGTTCAAATATATGTCCACAAGTGTGTGTGCAATCGTAAATATGCCAAAAAAAACGAAAAAAAAAGTTTTTTTCTGGTTACTAATAGTTATTAAAGAAATTTGCTTTTCTCTCGCAGGTGTATATATTTATACATATATATATATATATATATATATATATATCATTCTTGTTGTAGATGAATATTTAACCATGAGAGCAATGAAAAGGAAACTAGAAAATTATAAATCATGCACTCTACGAAGTGCAAGTATACACAATTGTAGAAATTCTTATGTACATACACATACACACACAAACACACCCAAACACAAACAAAAACACATGAAAGCATTTTGATGTATGAAAAGTGTCTGTCTGTTGATATGTACAATATTTTCTGCTCTAGAGCTTTAGCTAGAAATCAAATGATATTTTTAAATGTCCTTGAGTTGTTGTAGCTGCTTATGCACCACTATTTGATTTGTATTATGTATATACTAGTATAGGTGTCAGTCTATGCCTGTGTGTCATATATCCTCAGCTATTTTAATTTATACACCAAATATCTCAGATCTCTGTTTAGATAAAACTTATCTTTCCTCTTATTTATTAATATTTATTTATTAATTTATTATTATGATTACTTTTGTTTTGCGACGGAGGGGGGAAATGAAAAGATCCAAAAATTTCTAAATAACTTTTATACATATATATATATATATTTTTTTTTTTGTTTTCTATTTATTTATTATTTTTTCATTTATCCCATCACTTTTCCTCTTGCAATTACGCTTTAGAAGACTTATAAAGTCGAGATATTCTTAACTTGCTTGGGATTTTAAAATTTATTCGGGTTATAAATAGTAATTCAAACGTTTGTCTGTCCGTCTTTTAATCTATCTGTTCCATCATAGCTGTATTGTTAGAACTCTCACGATCACTAAACTTTACAACCTGAACAGATATGATTGTTGTTATTGTTGTTGCTGACATGCTCAAGTCAAGTTTAAAAAATTGGCCACGGTAAACTGATGTCCCCAATATTTCAAATACATTTTCAGGTCTTTTAGTAGAAATATGGTTCGAAAGTTTATTAGGATCAGGTAAAATGACGGCGATCAGCCCTTTGCCCGATTACGACGGACATCCAAGGTTTACTCCTAAGCTTATATAGTGTTCGTATTCGTCTTTTTTGTTTTTCTCTCTTCATTTTATTCGTGACCGTCACTTTTTCTTACTAATGTTATCAGTGTTTTAAAGTTTATATGTATTTAAGAAAATTAAAAAAAACATTTTTGCTTTCATTTTTATAAAAAAAAAAAAACAAAAAACAAATATTTCACTTCATTAGGACTTAATAATGTTACATAATTATATTATTTATATATATAATTTTTTTTAATTAAATAATTTGCAATAATTAATTCACTTTAGCTCTTTTTTCTTTTTAATTTTCATTATTTATTTTATTTAATTATTTTTAAAAGTTTTTATAGGGGAAAATTAATTCTAATTTTTTTTTTTTATATATATTGAAATTTGTTTTTTTTTTTTTTGTTTTTAATTTTATAAAAAATCTTACATTTTTTTTTTATTGTTATTAGTTTTTTTTTTTTTTTCTTTTATTAAATTCAATTGCAGTTACTCCCTATCCAAAAAAAAAGTATAATTTAAGCGTTCTATACTCAACGAAGAATTTTTTCAAACTGCTAACGTTTTAAATTTTGTTTTAACAATTTTATTAAAGTCTGAAGCATTTTCATTATAATACAATCAAAAAAAAAGAGCTTAACATCGTTACGTATGTATTGGTGTCGTGAAAAGCAAAAGCTTTCTGCAGATATATGGTCAAGATCACTTAATAGCATTCGTGCGGCAATACATTGGCATTATGTGCTGCTTACACAAAGATGTTTTTTTTTTTTTTTTTTGCTTTATACATAAACAGATAAATAAATTCTATTAACGAAAATTTCTCTCAAGTATTTCGCTACACATATTTTCATAATTCTTTTTTTTCTTCTGCTTCTTCACTCTTTTGAAAAATTTCTCATATCGCACAGGATGAACAAACATCTAACTACCTACTTACTTGCCCACCTATATTTTCTTACGTAGCCATATGTGTCTCTGCATGAACTGTACATATATACATTTTACACCCACATACATACATACATGCATATATATATTCATATATTTAATTATCATATATGTACAATCAACCCCTTATAAAATTTTCATTGTGATTCGCAGTTAATCGATTCTCATGTGTTACCCCTTATACTCCTCTCGAATGCTTCTTTTTTTCTTGATCTTGATTTTCTTGAACAATAAAAATTGAAATAACAACAAAACCTTACATAGCTATCTAACGCCCACTAAGTTCTTTATGGATAACATTGTACTAATAAAATCTTTCTCTTAATGTCAAATTAATGAAATTAAAGGGGGATTAACATACAAGGCCGACATAAAAGAAAAAAAAAATTATCGAAAGTTCAAAAATCTTCTCTAAAGTTTATCACAGTTTTCTGCATGGCAATGCTCTGAGTCGGTCGCAGTCAGAGTCTCGCCATTCATCAATTTTGTGTGTTTGGTTTCGTAAAGGATGCAGAAGACGCTGGAGCTAATTGAGGGTTTCTAAGTATCTATTTTTATGACCTATGCGTCTTGTGATGCGAGAGTATATTAGGTTTGAGCGTGTGTATGCATCTGTATCTTTCATTATATCAATCTATTCAGAATCATTTTCTAAATCGATGTAAACTTGTCCGTTCATCTATCCATCCTTCCATCTGTCCGTTTTGTTTTTTGTGCTCAAACTAAAGGTCGCAAACTAAAGGTCGAGATGTTTTGAAGGAATTTTAGGCTTCGAGATAGTCCGGTCCAAGGCTAATGAAAGCTCTTGAAAACCATTCGGATCGACTTCGTTCTTCGACCATCATAAGGCTTTGTTTTGAAAAATCGTTACATGAATATTACATGAATGAAGTAGTATATAGCATTGAATGATGGGCCGTGTCCCACTGTAATATTTTTACAAGGTTCGATTTCGAATTATATAATATAAGAAAGGCCTTGAAAAGAAACAAAAAAAACTATTTGTGGATGCAAGTTCTACAGAAGTTTTGGTTCGGTAACCATGCGGTTATGGGCAGTTTCTCAACTCATCCCTATCCCAAACTCTATCTTCCATTAGATCGTTCTTGTCCAAGACGCGGCATTCCTCTCCGACTATGTAACTATGAGTCACATCGCGGTATGCTAATATTCATTTCATGAAAATGGTTAATTTTGTAATCATCTACAGAGGGCGCAAGACGCGTCATAAAATACCCTAGGCCGATCTACGGCTCTTCAAAATAAGACGTCATAAAGAGAAAAGCCGAAAAAGTACTCCAATCTGATAAATTTTCAATAGCATCCGTCTTTGGAACAAAGCAAACGGTTGCAATAAAAGATAGGTCTGTCCCAAGTCTTTCTTGGTGTTGCATACTTCCGCACAAACTTAATATATCCTTATATCCCAAGTAGCATAAGATATAAATATTTGTGAAATAATTAAAAACTTTAAATCCAAAGTTCAAATGTGCCTCAAAGACACGTCTTGATAACATTACGGTTTAAAAATAAACAAGTAACCATCAATCTCAGATGATTCGATCTGATATAATATTTTCTTTTTCTTTATTTAGTTTTTTGTTTTTTCATTTATAAAAAAATTGTTTGCATTTTAGTTTGTATTTTCACTTCTTCCTCTTCTTTTTTTTGCTTTCAATTTTTTTTTGTTTTAAGCAAATTTTAAGATATTTATAAAAAATCCTTTGCGAAACAATAATTGTTTTTTTCTTCGAATTGAAATCTTATAGCAAACACAAGCTGTTGAAAATATTTAAATATTTCAATTTTTTTTTTTCTGATATTATGAAAAAAAAAGAAGGAAAACATTAAAATTTATTAAACGATGTTATAAAAATTAGAAAAATTTTATAAGGCCATTATGGTCAAGCTTTGCTAACTGAGAGCAGTTTATGAGACTTCAAACAATGTAAAAAAATATATTATATACATTATACATTATATACATATGTGAGGAAAAAATGTAAATAGAGGAAACTAGATAATAACAAAACATTTTCTGCCTTTTTAATTAATGTTGTAAACATCCATACATATAACCACTTATGTGTGCGCTAACAACGAGATGTGCTTGAACATTCTCATGCACTTCATCATCATCATTAACTGCATGTGTGTGTTAACAATTAATTTCGTAGTAATTATTTGAATTTATGTGCGTGGTGGTAAAAGTTAAATAGAAAGAAAAAATGATAATAATAAATAAAACATGTAAACTTAAAAATAAATAATAAAAGGCAAGCAAATCTCAAACATTTTTTACCACGAACTCGTATTTGATTCGAATAAGTTTTTGTGACATATTTTATTCCTTGTGTTTGAAATTTAGTGATTATGCAGATCCTAACTATGAAATCGAATACATATATGTATATATAGGCAGATCAGAATATCACCACAAGAAGAAGAAAGAATACAAAACACTATAGCGAGTCATGGCCCGGCATTAAATACCCTATACTCCTTCGTTTAATATTGTTATCCCTATAACGAGCTTTCAAAATACATCTCCATATGGGGGGTAGTCGAAAAAGTAATCCGACCCGATACAATTTTCAATGGGTTGAAAAAAAGACGGACGGACGGACAGACAAGGTAGGATCAGCACAACAAAACGTGGGCATAGATTGAACACAAAAAATGAAAACAGGCCGACAGAAAGACGGTATAATATAAGTGAGGGTATAATAATAAGTGAGGGTATCTCACACCCCTCTGCATGTTGTATACATCAACATGAGCTTAATGTATTCCATGTCAATACTTCTTTCGATGTGAA